TACCTGTGAGCTGCTTCCTCTGTCCACCCTCGGCCCCCCTCTCTCACCCTGAACACAGCAGTACCTGTGAGCTGGTTCCTCTGGCCCATCCCTCACATACAGACTATTTCCCACCTTGTGGTTCTCAGTCTTCCCTGGCTTCCATGACCACATAACATCAGGATAAATTCCAAATTCCTTTTCTGCCCATGCCTCGGAGTCTGAACACTGGTTTCTGCTCTGTCTAGAATGCCTTTTTTTCTAGTTTACATCAGTTATTTCCTCACTTCCTTCAGCTTTCTAACCAAATGTCACCTTCTCAGGCTGCCCATGACCACCTTACAGAATAGCATCCAGCTCTACAGAGAGTTTTTCTGTAGAAACTTGTCTTTAACTTTGTCTGATTCGTTTATTTATGAGTAAAGACGTAATAATGGCTTCACTGTTCTTTACTTAAAACTAGGAAAGAAACCAGTGTTCCAATCTTTAGGCTTCTGGAAACACTGGTCTAAAACAGAACCCACGTTCTTTCCTTCTTTTCACGCTATTCTGTTGATGACTACTGAGTCTTTCTTTTTGCATTTTTTCCCAGTGATTTCTTTTTAAACCAGGCCACACAATATGTTAATATGTTGAGAATGACTCAGTTTTTCCTCATCCAGAAGAAAATGACAAAGCAAAACGCCGCACAGGCAGTTCTCGTTCAGGTTGGGTTCGCCGTTTCCATCACCTGCCAATCCAGGGTCAAGCAGGTGTTTGAAGGTTTGTTTGAGCTGAGACTTATTGTGGGTTGCTGTCAAGGACGCATCTGGAATCATGGAAGAAGTCCCGGAAGGTGAACTTCAGATCTCGTGAGGCTCAACCTTCTAACCACCAAGGCTGAGAAATGTGCTCTTACAGTTTTATGGAAAATGATCTATGGATGGGAAGGCCTGGGGAAGCTTAGCGAGGGAAGTTAAAGCAGAAAAACCAAATGCTGCTCCTACCAGGAGTCTGTCTCCTCTGAGACCTCTAACTTCCCCAGGCCATTCTCAGATAGAACAGTGATGCTCTCGCCAACACTGTCACTCACAGCTCCTCTGGACGTGGAAGTTAGCACTATATTATGGTTCTTGTTTATTTATCTGTTTTCCATATGAAAATGTTGTGTATCCCCATAGCCTTATAGCCTGGCATGGCTCTGGGATTATTTCTTGATTACTGAACAGAGGAGGTTAGGGAATAGCTTTGAAATATCCAATGAAAGGGAACTGCTTATTTAGGTATTTTTAACAACAATAAAAAAGATACTCAAAAATGAAGCAGATTATGCTATTTGTTCTAGCTTTGTTTTTTGATAGCAAATATTATTTTTCTTAAATTGACATTCTAGGTAAATTGTCATTAACCTTTGCTCCAATGTGTTATTTTGTAGAAATTACAGAGGTAATACTAGTTTCAAAAACTGATCAGTTGTCTCCCAGCAAACAATTCTTGATTAACTCTGGTCTTTCACAGAGCAGGGAGCATCTCGAGCCCGCCAGCTAGTTACAAGTTCTCACAGGCTCAAAGGTTCTAGGAGACAGGTTCTGAGTACGGTCAGTCTGTCCTCTGTCTGTGGGTTCCACATCCGTGGACTCAGTACTGAATGAGGATTAAAAATATTTGGAAAAAAACAATAATACAAATAAAAACAAATATAATATGACAACTATTCACATCGCATTTACATTGTAATAGGTATTATAACCTAGAGATTTAAAGTGTGTA